TGAGTGATACCACGGCCTCACAGAAAACCAGCGTGAAATAACGCTTACCTTGCGGGTGTGTTTCCTAGTATAAGTGAGTTGTAGAAGACTCAGTCCTTTTCCTGCCTATTTTTAAATCTTTAAGAATCCTCAAATGAAGGCAACGTACTTGTGAGACGTCTGTAGTTGTCGACGTCTGTTGTTGTTCAAACGCAGACGTCCGTCTGTGTTTGAATCGTTTTCCGCCTAATACCAAAGTTACATTTCCTGAGTTGTTGGGAGTCTTCACTACATAAAAGAAGTGCCTACAGCGGGCATTATTATATTGAATGCTGTAACTGGGAAATTTTCAAGAATCCCGTTATGTATACCCAATAAGTACCAATTGGCCCGACCCGCATTAAAACCTACTTCCTACCGAGAGAAGAAAACCAGGCCAGTGACGTAGACAAAACTTTTATTTTACTTTTATTCTATTAAATATTATTTTTTGTAACAAATTTATGTTTCAACAAAAAATAAAAATACTAAACGAGCCACCAGAATATAATATTGCCAGATTACAAAATCAAATTACTCATAATTCAATAAAGATTGTACAACTGCCTGGTAACACTGAAATCGTTATTATTATAATAGAATACTCATTTCAGTGTTACAGTAACTGAATGAGTGAAATGATCACGTAATAATTTCTAACTAACCTACCTACTGATCAGGTTGGCCTGAAAAAACAGTTTACACAATTCACATTGTTTTTAGACTTTGTATCAACACGATAAAGTTGAAAATAGAATAAACGAATTTACTAAAATTGATTTTTTTAAAGGAGGGAAAATTATCAAGTGTCTTCTTCCACGTTGCGTCGGGCGCAGACTGTCAGCAGCAGGGGAGCAGACTAGAGACCATTAAACTCCATTGGGTCAGAAATGTGCTCAAGTGGCCACCTGGGAAGACCTTCCGCTAGGTTTTTTTTTTGTAAGAGGCAAATCATCAAGTCACGGGGATGTTTTTAGTCAGACTCTTACTGACTAAAAACATCCCTGTTCCTTCTTCTGCTCTGGGCCGAGGCCGCGGTGCCTCATTGCGCTTGCCCTGCAACCCTGTCTGAACATCAGTTCTATAGGGCCCCGTCTGACCTTCCGCTAGTTGGACCGACGACATCGCCAGAGGATGCGAGTGACGACTTATCGGTCGGTGTGGAGAACTAAGGGGGAGGCCTTTGTCCAGAATTAGACGTATTTAGGCTGATGATGATGATGATCAGATAGATGACCTAACATCGCAACACCAGGGGAGACTCGAGTACGTTTTCAGCCTTTTGCTAACTCAAAACCTCGAAAAAAGCTTAAAGCAAGAGGAAAAAGGTGGTATTTCTTCTCCTACTTCGAGAGCTGGTCCTGGGGTATGACAAACACACTTTCCCCCATAGAATTAATGTCAGTAGGGGAGAAATTATTAGATTATTTCCCATAAAAACTCGCTTACGGTGATAGATCATAGACCAGCTGATGACAAGTATATTACTAAACCCGATGTACTGAACAATAGTTCTTATGAACACATACATATTTAATGATGACAAATGACTGATCAACCTATTGTTATTTTGATAAAAACTGATGTCGTACTTGCGTAATCAATTGATAAGTAAATTTGATCAAAATATTTTTAATAAAATATGATATTATTGTTATATTATGTGTATTCACTGAATTTATCTAATGACTAATGACTTGGTTGTTTTTTTTATGAGGGAAAAGTCATTAAGAGACTTCTCTCGGCCTAGATGAGGACATATGGTGGTGTCTCTCGAAAGTTGTAATACAAAATCTCTCCATATACTTATAAAATAAAATATTTTAAGGTAACCACTTTATTTTGTTCATAGATGCAATATAACGGTCCAGTGGGCACCGAATATTACTTGCACAGTGCGTAAAATGTTAAGCTGATTGGAAAAAAGTATTTTTTTTCGCCATAAAGTTTTAGATCCGTGTTATATTTTGTAAAACGAACAATTGTTTAGTTCTGAGTATAAATATTGCAGTTATCGTTCAATGTCATTAGAATTTGTGATATTTGATTTGCTAAAATAAGCCGCTATTTAGCAATTATGATCCATGTTAACGATTCAGTAATCGATAGCTATTGAAAGTTTACTGTGCATTGCGGACTCAAATTAAAATTCAGTGTATTTATTTCAATTACTCCATATAAAAATATAAACCTTTAAAATGTTTATCAGTGAAGCTAGCTGAAAAATACCCTCGAAAGCTATACATGGAGAATAAGGGATTGAGATTGCTATTTAAAAGGGCCAGAATTATCTTAAATGTCTAGTGCCCGGCTTTGCTCAGTATTATGTATGTTTATGTTTATATAACACAAAAATGCAACAAAATTAATTTTGCCCGAACTGCAAAAGTATTAACAAAATCAACTAGAACCACTTAAAAACAACAAAACAAAAAAAAGCCTAACGAAAACAGCACTATCAGTAGAATTATTTTCATAGGATCAATGAATTTAAAATTTAAAAATTGAATTAAGAATCTAGAAAGTCACTGAAATCTCAGAGAAGGAGGTTTACATCGAAGTACAAGACGTTTAACTAAACTATAACCTGGACTAGTTACAATAATAACCATCTGTTATAATTTCATTACACTAAAATAACATTGGTCCAACATCTATTTGAGATTTGACTACCTAAACTACATACCTATATAAATGAGTATGCTACTCAGAACTAAGTAATTGAAGTCTCCAATATTTCGCATGGACGATCCATTCTCAAACTCAATAAGCCACGGTCAGTAGCCATTTTAGCGGTCACTAAATCAACAGGGAAACTGCTTATGAAACTTCAAACATAAATATAGGTGGGTAAGGTTAAAAATGGCGATTTATAAACGAAGAATTTGGATTAAATTGGTGTTGATTGGTATTTTTGTAGAAATTACCAAACACACCAACACAAATATTTTCCTTTTTCCCTTTTTCAAATCATCAGCCTACAAGTGCCCATTGCAGAGCAAAGACCTTACACAATGCGGCTTGGCGATTTGAAACTTGTGTATAATTAATAGAAATATTATAAAGTCCTAGTTTTCTCGCGCTTTTTACCTTCACTTTATGTCTTTAGTATCTTAATAAACTTAGAAATGATATATAGATATATACACGGCAAAGTCACATTGGTACTTGCCAAGTTTAGTTTTTTAATACCCAATTATTAGACTAGAATAGAAATACACAAGTGAACCATCATATTGACATCAAAGTATAATATAAATGTCAATCAGTTACGGAAAGTAATCAATAAATAATACCCATCCTATTACGTAGGGGACCAAGACTCATTACATTGAGGAAAAACCTCTCATTATTTCCGAAAAATCTCTTGTTTTTCTCCAATAAAAGTCGGATAACTATCAAAATTGTGGAGCAACACATAGTCTCAACTCTGAAACGAAAACCTTGTCGAACAAATTAGGATATATATACTTTATTACACAGCAATTTTATATAAACAAGGAATTTTGGTAATTGTAACCTGTGTTCTAAGAGCTTAGAGTTCAATTTTGCTGAAAGCCAGCTTTTGGCGTGTCAGATGTGTTTTGGGCAGGAAGCAAATTGCTCATTCCTATGATACAACTTTTGAGAAGGTGAAATATACTCATATTTTTTTGTATTACAATTTCCGCAAATGTAAATTGGATGAAAGGTCGACGAGACACGTAAACTTTTACTCAAGTTTTATCCAGAGCCATTTGATGTTTGCCCACTATGCGAATTGCAAAGCAATATTATTTTATAGGTTAATTTAAAACTTTCCGTCGAGGTCGATTTAAATTTTTGATAAAAAATACATAGGTTGTTAATATTCCATATTATTCAGATACTATATATTTTTATTTACTGTAGCCATTTTCCAAATAGGCTGAATTTTTATCTTAGGTAGATAAATGAATATATATATTTATATTTCAAAGCATATTACTAAGTGTTATATACTTTGAAAACTTAGAATGTCTTACTACGAGTATAAACTATGCAAGTACCTTAAGTTCCTGGTTACATAAAAATCGATACAAACAGATTTGTTAATTGGCAATCTACCTATGTTTAATATCATTTATAGAGACATGTTTTTTATAATTAATCAGTTCGTTTTCGAAGGAAAATGAAGGAAAAATGTGGGATAAATATTTTTTCTTGGACCTAAATGAGAAAATATATTTGTTTGCTATTATAATTTAAGATAATCACAAAATGTAATTTAGCTATTTGAATTATTAATTGAGAGTATTAATTAATTCCATTAAAGTATTCTTCATTAACGAAATAAGTGAACAAGATATTGTTTTGGGGAAAGTATCTTTCATTTTGGACTTATAAATACTAAAATATTTTTGGGAAACTTAACAATTTCTCAGAAAGGTAACATTTATTATCTTTTCAAAATGAAATATAATCCGTTTTAATACAGATATCTGCTTCATTAGTAATTTAAGCTTGGGTATCGAATTAAGTTGTTAAAATTGTACTTATTTATTTTGTTTGCTCGCTTTAGTTCCAGTATATAGTAGCTTGGATTTCATCGGTTTTACGCAAGTAATTCTGAGAAGTTTGCTACACTGAACTGACCCGAAACATTGAAATTGCACGGTGTATATTGTAACCCTACTGTTATTATAGCTTTGAATGTCTTTAAGCAACCACTAGACTACCGATATACAAAATGATTTGTGTCTTGCGTGCGAGAATTAGTTACGTAATAGGAATTGATAGCCGAAATTGAAAAAAATATTATTCGTAACGGCTTAAAAACTTGAACTAAAATTTTGTTTTAGTTTTTTTAACCGACGTTTCGCTGTCATATTACATATAGATCATTTTTATAAGTCAAAATTACCAGTTAGTTTACGCAAAGTGGTTTAAAAGTCATTCTGTGTTACCTAATTAATAATTTTAGGATAAGATGAGTAATAAGCAGATTAAATTAAATGACTTACCCTTCTCTCGATGGTAATTTTCTTCTTTCTTCTCTGGTTCCTTGTGGTGGTGAGTTGAAGCCGGTATAGCATCAGTGACTGCGTCAGTATTCGTAGATACTGCATCGGTACCTGAAGGCCCAGTCTGAACAGTGGTATCAATTATTTTAGAATCTGAACCAGTGGTATCAGAGCCTGTGACTTCAGCACTTGTGTTGTCAGAAGCCGTCGTTTCATTAGAGACATTGTCAAATACTGGGGCCTTTGTTGTAATGTTCACTTGTTTAGTATCTTGTTCAGTAGTTGCAACAGAAGTGGTGTCAGGAAGAACAGGTGCGGGCTTCTTACGCTTTTTGTTCTTCCTTCGTTTGGGGAAGAAAAGCGTTGGTTCACCTTCTTTTCCCTCACTTTCATCTGGCACTAACGATATCCTTTCATTACTTTCAGCTACATCTATTAAACCAGGAGTTCCAGAGTATTTTGCTGAGAATCTTTCTGGTTTATACGACTTTCCTTTGTTTGATTGTTTGGGTTTTGGCTTTATAGTCGTTGTTTCCTCACTATCATCATCATACACTATGTACAGTTGAGGATTCTTGAACACAGACAGTTTGCCAGTCTCGATCTTCTTGTCTTTCTTTTCTTTAACTTTGCTCGTTCGTTTCGGGAGTCGTGTTGTCGTTGGTTTTGTTCTTTCGGGGCTAACTTTGTACTTTTCATCAAGCGATACATATTTTTCTTCATATTCATCGTAGTCTGGATACTTCTTCTTCGCTACAGGTCTGTACCTATCATCATATTTGTCATTTTCAACAGGAGAAAGCTGCGCCTGAATCTTTTGTCTTTCGAGTTCTTCTTTGTAAATTTCTTCTTCTTTATCTTTTTCTGCTATTGCCACTTGTTCTTTTGCGTGGCGTAATTTTAACTCGTCTACAGTATCTAAAATAGCTTTCTTAGCGTAATTGTCATTTTGATCTTCTTCTACTGACTCTAGTTTCCTTTTTTCCGTATTGCTTTCTTCATAATCAATATCGTCTTCATAATTTCTTGCTTTCTTTTTACCACTGGGTGTTTTAGTTTCTTCAACACTATCCCTTATTTCAAAAGATTTATTTTCTTCTTTCTCTTTTAACTCTGAGATACCTTTCTGTTTTGCTTTCTGTAGAGCTTCTACGACAGGATTTGTTGGTTTTTTGGTAATTATGTTCACGACACCGTCTATTTCAGAGATTTCGGTATGATTTAATGCTTTACTTGGATCGTGGGAGGGCGCTGATCTATTAATGTCAGACCAATCCTTCTTTTCGTAGTAATCGTCACTGTCGCCCTCACCTTGGCCTTTTTCAAAATAGTCATCGCTTTCAGAATCGGCCACAGCTCTAAGCACGAAATTAACAGGTGGTGCCAACCGCTTCTTAGGTTTACGGGCAACCTGGACGAACTCTCCAAGTTCTTCACCGTGCTTATTTTTGAAAGGTACCCAGTCTGGGAATAGATCCCCTAAGTTCGCTTCACGTTTAGTGACATTTTGTTCACTCACAGTCCCTATGCTTAGTGCATTAGTGGTTATAATAAACGAAATTAAAATTAGCTGTGTCGCTATCATGATTATCGTGGTTATTGAAGCATAACTCAATCAGATCACTATAGCGGAGTGATTGTCCGGCGGCTGCGCGCGATCAACTGTTTGTGTCAGTTTAAACTACTATTATTTATATTGTTTGAAAAACGATTCTCTTCGCCACCGACAACTATGGCTCGTGGAGAATTGTATGGATCTGTTTAAAAGTTGTAAATTATTGAATGAAATGCTTCAGCAGTTATGACCTAGTTGTTTACAATTTATATTTGGTTTTTGTTTAGTAGTTGTAGTTTTTACTCAAGTCATTATATTATTCGTGTATTTTTCTGAGAGTAAGTAATGAAATAATATAATAGTAAACAGAAAACTGGGTATAACTTGTAAAAGAAAATGAAAGGAGAGGCACAATTTGTCAAGTATAATCCTAATTTCATTGGATACAACTTTTAAGGATTCTTTACTAATTACTGATTAATAAGACATAGCAGAACCCTTAAAATTTACAAATCCAATTACAAAAAAAAAAACATACACAATAGCAGAAATCCTATAACATTTAATCTGTTATATTAATACCCTACGTTTCGTGTCGCGGATTCGATTTCCGCATTGAGCAAATATTTGTGTTTGGATTCCAATGTTTGCCGATATTCGCTTATGGTTTTCGTTTCAATGAGTTTTTTAATTAAAATCAATTTTACTGATTTTGTCTTTTTTTGTTACGAATAGCTTGAAGAGAATATGGGATAAATATAAAATGCACTAGCCAAACTCACAATTTGAATACTTATAAGTGTCAAAATCGCTCTGAAAAAATAATAAAACAGCACCAATACTGTTAGCCTAGTCTGAGCTATATGATTATCATATTAAAAATTGAGTTATAAGCCGCATACTTATAGCAGCTATACTTCTGAACTATCTTTATATCCACAACACAATTGCTATTTTTTATTGAAGTAAAAACAGCTCACGGAGATTATCAGACTAATGCTTTGCTATTTTCGAGTTACAACGGGATCCTTATTCATGAGCGATTCCCAAATACGAGTCCCGTACTAGTAAACTAGTAGATCTAATCCCAGTTAATTCGCGTAAGAATTTGTTTGAAATAAGAAATTTAGTATTTCTCACGATAGTTACAATTTAAAAAATTAAATTAAACAATACAAGTGATATCCACGTTAGTGACAATGACACCTAAAACGAAGACCGTGCCGTGAAATCTTGAATTATTCGAGCGATTTCATACAGACCGGCGTTCTAAACGCTGCGTTTTGTCACGAATTAATCAAAGTGAACAGCTTCAGTTTATTTTTTCTAGCGTTTTGGATTTTCAGACGGAATTTTCCTGCTATAGGTACGTTAAAAGACTTTGTTGGACTTATAACTATAAACTAAACGAGCATAGTATTATACCTGATTAACCGAACAAAATTATTAATTAAGCTTAATATACAAAAAAATAATGTTGTTTTACAAAATCGACGGCTAAAAATATCATTCAGTTACAACATTTAAACTGCAATAGGTTTACGTAGTTTAAAACACAATAATGACATAAAAATTAAACATGAGTAAAGAAAAAACGTAAACGTGTACAAAGTAGCGTTTTAAAACCGAGCGTTCGAACCGCAGCGTGTCACCCGTCACCCGCCCGTCTACTCCTTCAAGGCTGACTAACGAAACTCGTGTGACGGTCTGAAACCCTTGCGCCACCAGCAAAAACGAGGGTGACTGACTCTATCGTCTGCCAGTCCATTGTGTACATAGCATTAGTAATTGAATCAGAATCAGTCTTGTCTACAAATTAATTTTTATCGACCAACCTAGAACTAGTATTGTAATTCTGTCTAGTTAAACTCACTCTGTCTAGTTAAATTCTGTCTAGTTAAAACAGATGTAATACAATTATATTGTCATTTTTGGTCTTGTGGTTACGATGATGTTGAATACTTTTGTCACTGTCGCTTCTTTGGTTTAGCCATTTTAACGTTAAGGTATAGATATATTTGGCCGTCGAAAACGTCGTGATGGTCCGATGCTCATGCATGAGGGTTCATAACCTGGCACCTGTTTTCATGTTATTTTTACTTGCTATGATGATTTAGATACCACTGACATACGGCGAAGGAAAATATCGTGAATATTAGTAATAGGTGAATGTTTGTAAACTCACCCACGACCACGAATATGTAAAAACATTAAATCAAACCCTGTTGTTTAATTTTTTTAAGTCAAAAATCATTACCTAATACTTTCAAAAATGTGGGAGAGCCATGCTTCGGCACGAATAGTTCGGCTCGACCGGAGTGATACCACGGCCTCACATAATACCGGCGTGAAACAACTCAGCGTTGTGTTTCGCCGTGTGAGTGAGGTTACCGGAGGCCCAATCCCTCCCCTTCCCGATCCTTTTATCCGCAACCCCTATCCCCAAAAGGCCGGCAACGCACTCGTAACTCATTTGGTGCTGCAGGTGTCCATGGGCGGCGCCGATTGCTTACCATCAGGTAATCCGTCTGCTCGTTTGCCGACTTATAACATAAAAAAAACATTTTGGTTCATCAAAAGTTAATTAAAATTTTACGATCCAAAAAAGCACTGAAAATCGGTATGCAAATACGTATTATTTTGAAGTTTGGGAGTTTTTAATCAACCAGCGATTATCCCTGATATCTGGAGGCATAATTATCAGGTACCTTGGCTGGGCCTTGCGTAAGTAATTAATAATTATTGCATTATATTATTAGATTAGAATAAAATAGATTAGAACTGTCAGTAAATTAGTTTAAGGAAATCTTATTTATTTAAGATTAGCTTCCGCCCGCGGGTTCTCACGCATTTAAAAGTAATGTATCCCGGATTTTAAAACACAGCAGCGTTTAAAGCGATGGCTCGAATAACGCAAATTAAATATAATTTATAGCCTAGGTATATGTATACTCAACAACATTATAGCTACAGAGAAATAATTTTGGAAATCCGATAAGTGATTCCAATTATTACCCCCTACATACAATTACAATTTTACCTCATATTTCATCAATTTACCTCTAACGCTTAAAAGATTAATTTTTGTTATTAAATTTAAAACTTCTATTTAAACGTGGGTTGTATAAAGTACAATATTAGATGTCGATTCCAAAATTACTGACCGTTCCAGCCTCATATTACCGCTGACATTTACATTGAAACAAAAACAAAAGTTTTTGAACTAAGTATTGAAAATTTTGGTCGTACAATATTTGGGTAAAACTTTCGCATCATATAAACACGGATTTTGTGATAAAAGCGTGTAGTTAGTTATTAATAGTAGATTACATTTATTGCCATCTCTGTTACTCTTACGGCGGGTGCTGCAAGACCCAAGTAGTTATACTATACTTAAGACAGAGATGGAATATTAGTGCACTTTGATAAACCTTTTTTTTTGAGGGGTTCAAACCAACAAAATGATTTCGCCAGAGTCCCTTTCCTTCTCTGGTTCCATTCCAAGGCCGCGATACCTTTTTGCGCTTGCCCCGCAACCCGGACTAAACATCAGGCCTATTAGGCCCCGTTTGTGGTAGACTATTGGCTCTTTGTGGCGCGAAACACTACGAGCTGCCCTTGCTTTGCATCCACAGAACCGCGCTTACGGTGACCGGATATCGTACTTTGATAAACCTGCAATCTCATATTCATATTCATTTATTTGCAAAGCAATGAAGCCAAGTTCAGCCCCGCCCAGTTCAAAATTCCATTTAAGGCTTCTGTTATATCTGTTTGGAAAATCATCCACGATGACCTTGGCTTGGCCGAGAAGTAGAGTCAGACTTTTACTAACTAAAAATCATCACGTTCCTTTTCCTGCTCTCAACCGTCTTTAGTACATCAATACGCTTACAACCGCAACTGGACGTCGGCTCTTGTGGGCCTCAACTAATAGTTCTTTAAAGCGTGCACGGAACGTGACGTGCTAAGCTTTGGTCTGGCTCTGGTCGGTGGGCCAGGATATGCAAAGGATTTTGATGCAGGTTTTTCTAATAGATAGAAAGATTGACGAGAAGATTTTTATGTATAATAGCATTCCTTAAATAATGGACAAATTTAGTATCAGTATTGCATTTGTGCAAATCCGGAGCGTGTCGTTAGGAATAAATAAATAAAATATTTCAAACTGATACTATTTGACTAAGCCACTATTACAATCAATTTCAAAACTTAGACCCTAGAACGAAATAACTATGGCTAATTCGTTAAAGAAAATACTTACAGCAAGTACTAAAATTCATTATGTACGGTGAGTGATTTGATTCCGTGCCCACTGCATTCACAGTGCAATGATGTCGACCATCAAATAATGAAATTAGTCAAACACGACTGTTGATAAATTGAAGGTAGGTATTTCTAAATCATTCTATGGCTGATTTTGATAATCTGTCACTAGAATAACACAGATGGGCTGATATTTTTTAGCAGCAGTAAGACTCTTTAAAGTGTAGGTAGTTTGATTGACCACATGGCGTGCTCACCTTGTACCTGATGCGGGTGCTTCGGTAGATACCTGTTTCAGATCCAGAAGGAGGTAACGCCCTGGTGTCGTGTCGTCATTGTAAGGATCACCCGGTTGACAGGGTTGAGCATACGGTACGGTAGCGGTGTGCTCTGCTTGGGCTAGCTACAGGGAAGCCGTCTCCTTTTTTTGCTAAGCATTGATGATCGCAGAGAAGCAAGACGAGGCGGAGCGCGTTAGGGAACTATCCTCCTCACATACAAGCCAAGCAGGAACCTACCAAAACTGCAAGTGAAGACGTCATGGCGTCTTTCAAGAAGCTCTTCCTGGTCTAAGCAATGGTATAACAGCGTGCCAGACCCCGTTCTTTGAGTCGGGCCGCGGTACATCATTTCACTTTAATAAAACGGGTTTTATTAAAGTAAAGAATTTCCTTAAACGTTTAAGGAAATTCATAACAAATGTTGAATAGTGACTATTACCTACTTTTTGTAAGCATTGTCCCACACTAGGACTTTCTCCTATGTGGTAGGTGCATGTACAAACATATAATTTTGTACACACATCTTACCCAGATCCGAACAATTTATGGATTGTGTAAACAGAAGTCTGCTGATCCATTCTAGTGTTACGTGCCTGACGTCACGTTCCTGACTATGCGGGCTTGGGTTACGGGATTGGATGAAATTAAACACTAATACCGGTTTTCAGACTTTCTAATGCACTTAAATGACAGCGGAGTTTGAACCACTTTTCCGTCACACTAGTATGAAAAGGCGACATGGTATGTCAAGTTACTGATGTAACTCAGTTCTTTTGTATAAAGATAGCTTTGATTGTACTGTTACTTGATTACAAGCATTACTATTAAACTAAGGTTCCGGGTTCGATGCCCGTGTTGAGTAAAATATTATTGTGGTTTTTTTTATTTCGTCATTAGTTCAAATGTAATTGAATAGACTATGGAATGAGTCTTTTGTGTGTGTTTACGTAATATTTTTAAAAACTACCTTACGGTCATTGAAATAGGTAATCATTTTGCTTAATTTATTTATTTATTTATAAAAAGGCAATAATAAATACATCATTGAAATCTTAAGCAGCATGAAATAAATCAAATTACTCTACATTTTGGGGAAATTGACGACAAAATAGTATTACTAAACCTTGTGTTAAGTAACTTTCAATTCTATTCCGTAGACGTTAGAGTATCGAATTAACTGTGAGAATTATTCCGAAAATTGTTACTTGGATAATAGAAAATGAGCTCTCTTCTTCTAGATTTAAAGTCGAGAATGCATTGCTGCCTTGTCAATATGATACGAATTTTCGAAGATAATCAATTTCTTCGACAGTTTTGACGGACCGTAGCATTTGAAGGAGCAATTCACCTGTCCGAAATATTGACTTTTATCTATTTTTATCTTAATTAATTGCCTATTAAAGACTAATTTTGTTTAACTTGTAATTCTTATGAGCATTAATGAAGGACAGAGGACTCATCCCTGCCCCAATCTTAAATCCCTAAAACCCCTTAACTTAGGAGAAAGTTTGAGTATTAATCACCACGCTTGCTCAAAGCGGATTGGCGATTTCAATAAATAAAAGTTTCTTTAAGTTTTTTTTTATAATTTCAACATCTAAAGATGTATAGATAAAAGAAACTACATATAACTCGCCAAAAGATACATTGATATCTGCCAGGTTCCGAACCGGACCTACGGGTACCTTAACTTCCAGGTCACCATTGAATTCACAGAAAACAAAGAAATACATACCAAATAAAGGTTGTACAGATAATATAATATTTAAACTTATTATTATTTTTTATATAAGATCCTCATTAAGTCATTGACTATGCCTATTGGTCAAAAAAGTAATTAAAGTTTATCATTTAATAACCTTTCGATATGTAAAAAATATAGTGTACCTTTATACAAAAGTTATTTACGCCTGATATGGTTCAGTAATTTGTCGTTACTTGAAGTGACCATAAACAATGGTTATAAATACCGTAAATGATAAAACATAATGAGAAAATGTCACCATAACGCTTGATATTTCCCGAAAGGTAAACAGAACTGTCCTCCTCTAACTATGTTAGTAGTTATATTCTATTTAATTAAGTTTACATAAGTATATATTTAGTCATATAACAACAGAGGAATTACGAGTGCGGTACCAACCTTTTGGGGATTAGGGATATGGAGATTTAGGGATTGGGGAGGACTTGGGGGAGGGGAAAGGTTGGGCCTCCGTTAACCTTACTCACACGGCAAAACACAACATTGTGGTTGTTCCACGCCGGTTTTCTGTGAGGGCGTGGTATCACTCCAGTTGAGCGGTCCCATTCGTGCCGAAGCATGGAAATTGTGAAAAAATGTGATGATTGTTACTCTTACACCTAAAAACTAATAAACGGATTTGAATGAAATTTGGCACAGAGATAGTCTAAATTAAAACATCGACTACTTATTACCCTGGAAGTTGCTGGCAAAAGCTATCCTGATATATGTGCATACACAAAAAAAAAACTTTTATATTTTTTATTTCCCTAAAATCCGATTGAAATCAAAAAATAAAGACGGTAAGATAACTAGCATAAAGTTCAAAATAAGTAGGCAGGTACTATCATTTCGAACTACCCAACAGAGATAGAACAGAAAACCGTTATATTCAAATAGCTTAATAAAATGTAAGTATATCTGTACTTGCAGTAAGATTCGTGTTACAAGGCGTTGGATATCTGATGCTGGACCGATGGGCTGGATGGGATGGTTTTCTGTAAGAAGGAACTAGGTAATAAGGGATTTCTTTATTTATATTTTTTAAGTATTGATTGCGTAACAAAAAAAAGCCATGAATATAAATGTGGATGGATGGAGAGGGAGAGGGAAACCAAAGAAAATATGGATGGATTGTGTGAGAAGTGATATGGAAGACTGAGGAGTTAGCAATAGCGTGACGAGTGACAGGACAGAATGGAAGAAAAAAACATATTGCGCCGACCCCAAATAAAACGGGACAAGGGCAGGAAAATGATGATGATGATGATGCGTCATTTGTCTAGTAGTAGCAAACCTAAAGTTTGGTGCCTTGCTTGTTAATCTCCATTCGAATATACACTTTGGAACGAGAATTAATTTCACTGATGAACAGAGTGATAGAGTATTATTATATTTTTACGTTTCAAAAGTTTACGTTTCATAAGTCGACTTTGACGTTGACTTAGGTGGACCTTAACAGGTAAATAATTATAATATGTAGTTTTTGTCGGAGTTTTGAAATGTATCAGCATTTTTTTATTGAACAGTACATCAAATAAAAAAATGTTAACATACTATACATACCTACAAAAAATCTAACAAGATCAAAAAAAAAATCAAGAAAAATCTAAAAAAAGTCAAGAAAAATCTAAAAAGAATCGGCGTCTTAAATTAACACAGTTTGAGTTTTTATTTTTTGGGACAAGCCCATTACAGTCTCCCAGAACCGTCGAAGCCAGGATCTAAAGTAGATACAACCATGAAAACACCGGAACACTGAAATCCGGCACGTTAGGGACATCTGTCTCAGATCCCGCAACGAAATAAAACAGAAGATATTTGAAAACGTATGGCCAACTAAAACAAATTTGCTTTCGATTCAAAAGTACCTACGACTTTATGTGAAAGTATAATTATTATTCTCGCTCTAAAATGCAACTTTCAACCTAATACCAAATATTAACCACTCATTAGTCCAACATTTCATGAAACGACAAAGCTAAGAAACAAACTTATCTTTAAAAATAAAATTAAACCTTTGGCACAGTTCCAAGGCTGGCTTTATCTAACAATTTTTCACCTTGCAACCCCAATAACCTTCACGTCAAACACAGCAAACTGGCAACACTAGAACGGGAAACGTTATTTCAAACGGTTTTCAATAAACACAACAAAGGCACCTTGTATTCTTTTGTAACCTGAGGCAAAGGCACACAAATGCATATATGTATATTAATTATTTTTTCACGGAATACGGTATTTCATTTTTTTTCTTATAGTAAATATTTCATTTTTTTAAAGTAAGTGGAGGGCCATGTTTCGGCACGAATGGGTCGGCTCGGAGTGATACCACGGCCTCACAGAAAACCGGCTTGAAACAACCACAGCGTTGTGTTTCGCCGTATGAGTGAAGTTACCGGAGGCCCAACCCTTCCCCTCCCGAATCCCTCCTCAATACCTAAATCTCCGAATTCCTAATCTCTAAAATGTCGGCAACGCACTCGTAACTCCTCCGTTGCGGGTTTCCATCGGCTGCGCTGATTGCTTACCATTAGGTAATCCGTCTGCTCGTTTGCCGACCTATTACATAAAAAAAAAATCGTGAGTTTTACTAAATTAACAGAAAATAAGGATTACGAATAAGGATTAAAGCTCTACTAGTCTCTCAGGTAGCTGCGTGACGTCACTGAAACGTGCACGCTACCCATGAATAAGAGTACCGTTGTAACTTGAAACTAGTTGAGCTTTTCTCAATTTATTCACGTGAATTAGTCGTTATTTCTAACAAATTTTGAATAGGGTAGCAGTGTTGGAGATGTATGTTGCGTCAACAATAGGTCAGCTCAACCAAGTTGGTACCTTGGTCTTACAAAAAACCTGGCGTGAAACAACCACGGCGTTTTATTTCGCCGTGAAAGTAAGGGAACTCCTCAATGTTGCAGGTGCTCCATCGGCGGCATCGATTGCATGCCTTCAGGTTATCCGTCTATTCATTTCCTGCACTATACTACCTATAACAAAAAAACTTAGACCATTGTGATACCATGCTATCCAAGGTACGTAGACTGCTGACCATTCACCTGACATTCTAGCCCCGATGATATCAATTATTAAAAAATTACACGCATAATGTAGGTAAAGTGGATGAACGTAGTAATCAAATTCTTATCAATTAATCATACTAGGAAACCTTCTTCTTACAAAAATACTATCTTAAACTTCTTTAACATGCACTAACGTTACATCAAGCTTTGTTATTATCAAAAAAAGAAGACGAGAAAGAGAAAGAGAGAGAGAGGGAGAGAAAATTGATTAAACTTTGTCTAGGCACTAAATCATAGAAGAAAGACCGTACTCCTTCTTAAAATGCCAGATATTTTCTTGTTACTTCTCTGTCGTCGCAGATGGAGTAGCAGCTAGGGTTACGGGTCCAATCATGTACCACGCTCTTAGTATGGAGCGAGAGAAGGAGTGAGGTGGGTTTGTAGTTAGTAAGAGAACACTTCTTCAGAAGATGAGGTATCCATGAGCGCCACTGATTTGCTTACCATCATAATAAACTTATATACACAACAGAACCATACACCCGGCATTCACTTTCAAAAAACTTACAAATCAATCGGTATTCCTTTATATACATCAATCATAGCAAAAAAAGATGATCTTTATCACGATTTACGACATTACAACATACAATTTAATAAGCAGTATTATCGATAAAAGTATTAAGATTACAATGAACAAATATACCTAGTTTGTAATTTATTTAGATTATGATAATATAGGGCGCAAGTTGTAAAATGTAATATTGTTTGGAATGGGTGTGACCGGTACATACCCACTGATAAGCCAACGCCTCCAATCATGTTCAGTTTAGTTGCTTGCATGTTTGAAGGCCGTGTTACAAACGTGGACTCGGAGAAAAACGGCGTGAAACCACGCTTACATATCGCTTTGCTGTTTCACGTAAAAGGGTGGCGAAGCACCCGTAAATTCCCTGCCATTAGGGAAGCCTATGAGCGAGGTTGATTGCTTACCATCAGGTTCAATAGCAAGCTCGTTTCCCTGCTTCATCTTAAATAAAAGGTAGACTGTTGACGATGATCATAATTATCATATAACATTCGGGTTCAAACCCTGGCAAGTACCGATATGACTTCTCTGAGTTATATGTACTTTCTATTATTTAGACTTGCATACGGTGAAGGAAAACATCATGACGAAACCAATTCGCCTTGAGCAAGCTTGGTGATTTATATTGAAATCTTCTCTGTGTGAGAAGAGGCCTTTGTTCAGCAGTGGGCACTCATAAGCTGATGATGTTATGTGATTTGAGAGCATGCGTGGTAAAGTTCAAACCGCCTCCGCGTGAGATAAGGCCTTAGTTCAACAGAAAGCACTCATAGGCTGATGATGATATTGATAAATAGGATCATAAAACGACTTCTTCTATCTCTATCTTGAAAATTCAAAAAATTTACATAACATCTTGTTTTCCTACAGCCTTGTGCCATCCAGCCTCGAAGACAAACTGAATGGTGGTCATGACAGTACAGCTAATATTACAAACGAGAGCCGAGAAAATACTGCAGCGCACACTACCCGGCTTGTGTTCGTTCTTATAACCACGTGGCTAAGTTCAAAATCGAAATCTATACTAATATTATAAAGAGGTAGAATTTGTAAGTTTTTTGTAGGAGGTAATCTTTAGAACCGCTGATCGGAATTCCATAATTCCTTTACTGATAGATAGCTACAATGTGCCTGAGTATAATAGGCTATAATATATCACGCTACGATTAAATGGAGCCGAGCAGCGGGTGTAACCGCGTGAGTGTAGCTAGTCACTTATACATGGCAAACTACAGGGTGTATTTTGAGGTTTATTTGATGTCTGATAGTACACAATCGATACTCGCAACGTCAAAAGAGCTACAAGTACATTGCTCGCCTTTTTATAGTATAGGCCAGCAAACGAGCAGTCGGAGTACCTGACAGCACAGTCGTAATTTCAAAGGAATTATTAGAAGTGTATTGCTGACCTAAGGATTGGACCTCCAGTAACCTCATTCACACGGCGCGACAACTTAAGTATTATATAACGCCGGTATCCTGTCAAGCTGTGGTATCACTCTGTAAGGTGTCGGTCGCCATGTAAGGTGCGGGTTCGATTCCAAATGAAACCAATGACTGCTTGAATAGAACTGAGTATATTTGTATAATATTTCGTGTTAAATACAGTTACACGAGTACATATATGGGATGCACGAGTACATTAATAATAGGACAAATTACATTACTAAATATCATACCACTACAACTCGTTTCAAGCAACCCTATTCACGCCGAAACATGTCTCTCCTACACTTATCCATTCCGCGAATTTGTCATTCAGTCTTACTTACACGGCGTAATACGTTGCAAGCGCTGTTTCACGCCAGTTTTCGGTGGAGGTATCAATGTTTGATTGCACGCTTGGTGCGGTGGCCGGCCAACTGGCTGCCGTGCAACGTGTCGCGGGTTCGATTGGCGGATGGAACAACTATTTGTGTGACCCACAAATTGTTGTTCCGGGTCTGGGTGTC